GAACAGTTTGTCAAAATCACTGCTGTGAAATAATCTCTTTCCACAAGACCTTGTATATTTCGATTATACAGGCCATGAGCACTAGAAATTACAAACCTGACAAAAATAGATTAAGGAAATAAGGATACAGGATTTATTTTTTTTAAGAGTCAAATTAAATTTGACTCTTAAGTCTGGTCGTACTGTGCATCCACAGTATAGGAAATAGATGTAAAGCTGTTTAAATCCCAGGAAATGCACTTACATCAAGGATTATGTCTTCAAGTGATACATAAGGAGAAAGAACACATGAAATTCTAGCCAACAAAGATCCCATTTTCATGCTAAAGAGAAATATGGAGACTTATCTATAATTGCTTATGTTTCATGGGAAAATTATGAAAAACATTTCAAGTCTTTAAAACACTGATGAATGTGTCAATATTTAATTTTTGGTAATTAACACAGTCCACTTCCATGTATTTGGAATAGACCTTTTATGAACATAGTAAATTATTTTCTACAGTAGTGCTTGAAAAAATCCACTTGTAAGTGACAAATGGAAAGTCTTCCCTGGCAATCATGGGGTCATAAATCACCAATTTCTGCAGACTTTAAGCTTTCATTATAAAAAATGGATTGTCACAGTTTCAGGGCAACTGCACCTATACTGCTCCTCCAGGTCCACTCCAGGAGCACCTAGGTAGGTCTCAGACCTCCAGCTGTCACCTGTCTCTGTCCTACTCCCTTCTGACAGGGGATTTTAAGGCTGCACAGCTGCCTGACATACTCTGTGATATCCACAGCAACCCAGTCTGCCTTAAGGCCAGCATCTAGGCTGAGCTTTCTTTCCAAGGGCTATGAAAGGTATGATTTACCAGTAATCTGAACAGCTCTTTCTAAGCAAGCACTTTTATTCTTAGGGCAAAAGCATCACAGAGAACAAACAAACAATAAAAAGATGTTAATGCTCACTAAACACATCAGGAATCACCCATCTTTCACTTGGGGCTTCTGGTAGAACACCACCTCTTCTAACTAGGGTGACCAGATGTCCCGATTTTATAGGGACAGTCCCAATATTTGGAGCTTTTTTATATAGGCGTCTATTACCCCCGTCCTGATTTTTCACACTTTCTATCTGGTCAACCTACTTTTAACCCTTCAGCAAGGGTTGAAGTCTCACCTCTTGGACACAAAGTCTTGTCCATTTGTTGAATCAAAATCAAAGTGTCTGTTTAAAGTCGGCCTTTTATAAAAAAAATAATCTTGTTTTGTCCCCCAGCCTCCTGAAAACAGGTAAAACCAGTCCTTCCCATGACTCCCCAGAAGGCCCAGCTTCAAAGCACTTCCTTTCCCTTAAAACACACAAATACATATCACTCACACTGATACCAAGGGCTATGAATATTCTACAGCTAATACTGTCTAGCCTGTCTCAATATAATGGCTATTTCATGTTCACGTATTAAAACATAAAATACAACATGGCGCCCAAAAATACTGCAACCACATGCAGTATCTGTCACATTGATCTCTAATCCTTACGGTTGCAACAAGCGTATTAAGAACATTAAATGTGGTAGGGCTGTATTTCTCAGTCTGCAGACTACGCTAGTACCACTGCTGCTCAAGTTTTGTCAAGCAGCAACAGATTAAAATTAACAGAAGTCTAGTCGGCTTCACTGCTGCTATTCAGAACCCTGGGGGCAACAATGAAATTGCAAAGAACCACATCAGCTTCATGCTGCTACTGCTTGGTAAGACTGTAAGCAGTAGCAAAGCGAGACACTGGAGATATTCACAGAGGAGAAGCACAAAAAAACAGCAGGCAGTGGAGAAGAGTGATAGAGCTGCATAGACCTCTTTTCTCCCCTTGCTTCACCACAGCCACGAAGTTGGAGGAGGCGTACTGGAGATCATCTTCTTCTCCCCTTTACCCCCCTCATCCCTACAAGAACCAGCTTACCTTCTTAATACAAGAAGAAGTGGAGATTCCAATGAAGTTGAACGGCAAAAAGTTTATACAACCTTCCCCACCCCCCAAAAAAAAATATTTTGTGGAATTCACTACTGCAAAAATTCAGTGAAGCCAAGAGCTTAGTAGAATCTAAATCAATTTATAAATCAAAATATAAGAACACTGATAACTACATGAAATAAGAGAAGATTAAAATGTTGAGATATTAACTCTGATGCTTCTCTCAAACATCTCCTTGCCATCATTCATGCTACCCGTTATGCAGGAAGGATCTCCCTGAGCTCGTTAGCAAAGCTCCCCATTCTTTTCACATTTGAGTTCCTTCTGAAGACCCACCTGTCATGATGCCTATAAGAAACTTGTTAACCGACACTGTCATGAATCATAGAGTATAACTGAGTATAAATTTTCATGTCCATTTTAAAAATACACGTATTAACATAGCAGTATTTGTTGCTTCCCTCCGCAGTACCTGCTGTGTCTCTTTAGGTTATAAAATCCCTGCCCAGGGGACTACACTGCCTATATTGGGGGGGGGAACAGACACTCCATGGGCACTCCTGGAACTAAACAGTAATGAATTATGCTTCAGGCATAAGACAGCTAGTAACTGCTTAGGCATGAGGAAACTTTCCTTACAAGCAGATTATTCCATAATTTTCCAATCAATAGGTGTTTTGGACCTTCCTCTGAAGCATCTGGTATATAGCCTCAGACAAGATACCGGACTAGAGGAACCACTGGTCTGGTCTGGTATAGCAATTCTTATAACCCTAAGAAGATTAAGTCTAAAAAAATACCAGGGCAGATGGACTGATGTAACAGATAAAAGCTTTTTATTTGGTTTGCACTCTACTACTGAATGTTTTGTCAGTTACATATCTGAGCAAGAGTTTTCAGCTAGTAGATGTCAGCTGGCCCCAGTGAGCAAGACTAACCAAGGTAAAAGATCAGAGCTCATCTCCCTCCACATGCAAGTGCCCAGTGACATCTGGAAATGATCAGTGGAACTGTCTGAAGATCCCAAGTTCCCCTCACATCCCTCAACCTTTCTCTCACAGCAGGGACTAGCCTATCAGTCCGAAAAATGATGAAGGTTTGCCGAGGCTGTGAGGGTATAACTGATAACTCATGCAGCCCAGGCAGCACCATCCAACTTCTCTCTTCTGAAGACAGCACACACTGCAGGTAGTCAGTAAACCTACTAACTCCACTTTTTGCACAGCTGTGGAGATCTGTTAGTAAGGTTTACACAATGTAGCCAAAGCAGGTTATACTGGTAAATGTGCAGTTTTGCTAGTATAATTGCATCAACATTAGGGGCTTTTGCTGACACAGCTGAACTTGGAGATCTGCAGTTTCCACACCTGCTTCCCCTGCTTTAACTGTAACCTTTGCAATGATATAAACAGATTTCTCATTTTCTCCTCCTATATATACAGATAATAATCTTCCTCCTGTGTATATAGAAATTATTAAAATAGTTTACTCCTGAGGGAATTCTGCACCAAAAAGTTAAAAATTCTGAGCACAATATTTTAAAAGTCTGCAAATTTTATTTGCCAATAAATAAATGTGGAGGCTCCAGCATGGCAATGCGGAGCACAGGCCACTGGCTGCATGAAGGTGGGAGATCACTCTGCAATCTCCTCCCAGGACACAGACTTGGTGGTGAGGCTGCACCCAACCCTGACACACCGCAAGGGCCAGGCCTGCCCCAGAAACACGCTGAGGCCCTGCCCCTCCATACCAGGCACACCAGATGTGGGCAGGCAGATTCAGCCTGGCTGGATCCAAGCATTGAGGGGCTTGGTGTGGGATGAGAGGGTTCTGTGTGGGGCAATCTGGGTGCAGGAAGCTCAATCGGGAGTCCGGGTGCAATCTGGATGCACAGGGCTTGTTGGGGGGGTTCCGGGTGCAGGAGCACTGGGACTCTGAATGGGGGTCCAGGTGAAGGTGGTTAGGGCTCAACAGGGTGAGTCTGGGTGTAGGAGGGATAGGGCTCGGTGGGGAGCTCAGTGGGGGGTCCAGGTGCTGGAGGAGTGGAGCTTGGTGAGGTGGGGGTCCAAGTGCACCTGGTTGGGGTCCAAGCAGCTGGGGCTGGAGCTCGTCACTGTAGGGGTTTGAGTGTGGGGAACTCAGCAGGGGGTGGTCTGGGGGCAGGGGGATGGGGCTCGGCAGAGGGTGGTCCAGGTGCAGGGAGAGGCGCTTGGCAGGGAGGGCCGGGTGTGGAGAAGGTGGGGCTCGGTGGGGTCGGGGTTCAGGTGCAGGAGGGTTCAGATGCATAGGATTTGGGCAGACAAGGGAGCAGCTCCCCATACAGTGACCTCTCCTCCCCCATGGCCAAGGAGCGATGGGGGCAGGAAGCAAGGGGCGAGGGTTGCGGAGCCAGGAGAGGTTTCTGGGGGTGGGTCTGACCACTTCCCCTGCATGGAATGGCCAGGACCGGAATTCCTCACCCACCCCCAGCCCAGCCAGAACTATCAGCTGAGCTCAGTGCAGGACAGGAGCCCCAGATGGGGCTGGGGAGGGCCAGGAGCCTGGGGCTCTGGGTGCAGGAGGGCTCCAGGTGAGGCGGGGTGTGTGTGTCTGGATGCACAGGGGTTGGGCGGATGGGTCTAACTGGCCCCAGTCAGGGCTTCCCCAACCATGCAATTTACCTCTCCGCTGGCTGTTCTGGGTGCCCAAAATGACACGCCCTGCTGCTGGGGAGGGGCACACGACCACTCTTGCAGCTTCCTTTTGCTTCCCTGTCAGAAAGTTATTTCTGCAACGGACATGAATTCTGTGCACGCAGTGTCACAGAATTCCCCCAGGAGTAATAGCTGCATTAACTGTAAAAGCCCTTGGGGTTTTTGTTTTTTAAAAACAAACTTCCCACTATTTAGTCAACCTATAATTGCTCCCCAAGTTGTTTTCTGGGCTTTGACACATTATTAACGAGATCTTTAGCTGTCCTAGTCTCAAAGCAATCAACAAAGGGTAACCCAAATAAAAACCAAACCAAACCAAACAAAAAACCACTTCCAAGATATAATACCTTATTGAGTTTGCCAAGTGAAGATATGAGATCTGCCCATTCGCTTGAAGATTCAAAGTTCCTCAAAGCTTTTTCAATCACTGAAGAATAATTTCTGTATCTGTAGTCCCTGAACAGCTCCTGCTCTTCTGGATCCATCTTAGGTCCTCATAGCACGGCAAAACTGCCTGGCAAACTAAAATGAATATACACAGTTATGAAAAATTAACCAAGAATTAAATATTGACAAAGCCTACACCTGAAAAGATTGCAAGGGTGTAGTAAGTATGCAGACATGTTTGAAAGGGAACTGTAAACAATTAATTTAATTTAAAAAACGGAGTTAAAAGTAATTTAAGGCATGACACCAATTTCCCATTGCCAGCATTTGTGGTTTTTCAGTCACAGTTTCCTATTTTTAGAAATGCTCTCTCCTATGTCTGAGTGCATCTTTTATACAATAACAGTAGGGGAGAGTAACTACACAGAAGAACTCATTATACACAAAGTAAATAAACTGGGGAGGAATAAGGGAGGGAGAGGAAGATATTTCTCCTGCTTTTTTAGCTATAGTTATCGATGGCATTACCTGCAGCAATAGAAAGTAGAAAATCATGCTTTAGTGTGAATTTTTAACTATGTGCCAATTCTCATGATTTTATTTCAAGTCTCACAATATTTTGTTTCTCTTAAAATCCAGCTCCTGGAGTTGTGCAAATGTGAGAATATCAGTTCTCATTTTTAAAAAAAAAAAGTTGAGTCTTCATGGTTGTAGAACAAAGCCTTAAAACACTACCTGAGTAGGCATACCAAAGGCTCAAAAACCAGAAGTAAGTTGAAAGAATGTAAAAGGTATTTTTTTAGAATCTCATGATTTTTAGACCCATCTCATAGTTCTGGGGCTCCTGACTCACATTTCAAACAGCTGGGATTGGCAATACTGACAAACTCACTAAAAAATGTTCAGTGACAGGCTCCTATTTTAGTCATTAAAATAAGTCTGTATCTGAAAACAATTCTAATCAACTTATTCTTTAAAATGTTGGTAGTTAAGGGACAAGTTCTATTCTTCCCTCCATCAAAGATAAAGCCTTTCCCCTCCACCAGCGTGAAACAGTGTTTCCTGGTTTTCAGAGCTTTAAGTACAAGTGCATTCAACATTCTGGAAAGGTATATGGCACCACCAGCCAATATTAGCTCTGAGTTAATGAAGTTTCTCGGCAGTGAATAGATTAGGCCTCGTCTTCACTACAAAAAAGGTCTGTCCTTAATTGGTGATAGAGAAGACAAGGCAATCTGTAATTTTCACAGGTTAGCTGGTTGAGCTTTAACCCAACCTGTTAACACATATGAAAACTACAAACTACCTGGTTTTCTCTAGGATTTTATGTTGAATTAACTAGCTTGAGTTAATACACCCTTTCTTCCCCTCTCCCCCTCCAGCGAATATATGGCCTTAGAAAGTGACAAATTATGAACAAAAACACTTAAAACTATAACACGTAACTAACTTATATTTCATCTTTCAAACCCATTTTTTAATCCTCAAATAGCAATGCATGAAAACAGGAATAAAGATGTGGTTACTACCTCACTATTGGTTAAGAAATTAAAAAGCAAAATTATCTGCCATCCATCCAGGTTATAACTAGACATACACTTACTGCGCAGCAAGCTGGGATGTAAATCTACAGCATTCCAGCGTGCTGTGTACTAGCTCTCCATGTGGACCCTGCTCTTCCACCTTAAAAGTTCCCTAGTGATCTCTGACATACACTGTTTCAAATCTATCTATTCAGGAGTGGTACTTTATGACTGGAGAAATTTGTGAGTGGGCTTGTATGATAGGATTGCTTGTGATAATAGCGGGGGGGGGGGGGGAACGACAGGGCTCAGCAGTCCTGAGTGTCTCTTCTGAATCAAGTCAGATGTTCCTAAAAATCTCATGCTTCAGGGCTTCAACCAGTCACCTGCAGAGGTCAGGAAGGAAGTTCCCTCTACTCCACCTCAACACATTCTGTTTTTTGGTCTCCTTCCTCCAAAGCATCAGAGATGGCCTGCTGGAGACAGGACACTGGATGCGGGAAGTTGGTACTCTGAGGAGGTACTGAGTATTCGTTCTCTCAGGTGCTTGGTTGGCTGGTTCTTGCTCACATGCTCAGAGTCCAACTGATCACCCACCATATGTGGGGGTCAGGAAGGAATTCTCCCCAGGTCAGATTGGTAGTGCCTTAAGGGTTTTTCCACCTTCCTCTAGAGCATAAGGTGTGTGGGTTGCTTGCTAGATTCATCTGGGTATATCTCACTTAATCAAGTCCCTGCCACTGCAGGGGCCATGGGCATTGGTGCAACTTGGTCCCTCCTATCCTTTGCCTATGGCACATAACAGTTTAGTCTGAGAGTTGTAATACCTTGGTCTAATTTCAGTTGCTGGGTTGTATTTGTAGCCTGTGATATACAAGAGGTCCGACTAGATGATCTGGTAGTCCCGTCTGGCCTTAAATTCTATGACTATGACACTTGGGCCTGGTCTATACTAGAAAATTAGGTCAGCAAAACTGTCGCTCAGGAGTGTGAAAAACCCAAACCACTGAACAGCATATTTAAACCAATCTAAGTCCCCATGTATACAGCAAGGAGGTGGATTACCTACACTGACAGGAGAATTCCTCCCATAAGTGTTTACATTGAAATGCTACAGTGATGCAGCTGTAACGTTTTAAGTGTAAATAACCCCACAGATTTATAGTATGCAAGCAACTTTATTTATTATTATTTAAAATAAAGAATGCCAAACAAAATTTATTTATTTTTTTTTTTAAAAGAGTTTACGTTTTTCAGGCCCAATTCTCTCTCTCATTGTATTACGTTTTATAAGTTAGAATTGTCTAGAGTGATGCTAAACATAGCAATGCCAGCTTTAACTACTAGAATCAGGGTGCTTGCACTGCTATACTAATTGTGACTCTAGTCCTGCATCCTAGTGTCACTATCCTCTGAGGTAATATAGAAAATACAAACTACAAATAATAGCTATACCAGCAAAACACACCTAACGTGGACACAGCTATACCAGCAGAACTGCACAATTTTCCTGGTATAAAACTGCATCGGAGTATATTTGGATTGGAATTCATCCAGACGGGCACTTTATGATCAAATTATAAACACATTTAACAGTGACTGATTTTCATGGAATCACAAATCATTTTCTAATTACACCTCTACCTCGATATAACGCTGTCCTCAGGAGCCAAAAAATCTTACCGCGTTATAGGTGAAACCGCGTTATATCGAACTTGCTTCGATCCACCGGAGTGCGCAGCCCCGCCCCCCCGGAGCACTGCTTTACCGCATTATATCTGAATTGGTGTTATATTGGGTCGCGTTATATAGCGGTAGAGGTGTACAAAGATGTATCTATTTCTCTCAATGGACCATTTGCCATCAATAATCCATTTTTGTCCTTAGATGTTTAGTAGTAACACTCTCATCCTATATCAAGTACCTCCACAATGCATGCCAATTTCAGAAATAATAAGGGTATTTATCCAAAAGCACATTAATGTGTCTTGTGGAGAAAGTAAATAGGGAAATGTTATTTACTCCTCATAACACAAGAACTAGGGGTCACCAAATGAAATTAATGGGCAGCAGGTTTAAAACAAAAACAAAAGGAAGTATTTCTTCACACAACACACAGTCAACCTGTGGAACTCTTTGCCAGAGGATGTTGTGAAGGCCAAGGCTCTTTTTTGAACCCTATTATAACTGGATAAACTCATGGAGTATAGGTCCATCAATGGCTATTAGCCAGGATGGGCAGGGATGATGTCCCTAGCCTGTGTTTGTCAGAAACTGGGAATCAGCAACAGACGATGGATCACTTGATGATTACCTGTTCTGTTCATTCCTTCTGGGACACCTGGCATTGGCCACTGTCATAAGACAGGATACTGGGCTAGATGGACCTTTGGTCTGACCCAGCATAGCCGTTTTTATGTTCTTAGTCATCTAGGTATTTCTGAAGTCAATTGGAGTTGTGTAGCTAGATGTCAACAAATTTACATTCAATTTTAATAACTGCAAAATAATATTTTAATGAAGGTAAGATAGAATATTTTCTTGTATAAATACAGAAAGCAACAAGTAATTAAATAATACTTTTTATCGGTGACCCTGAAGCCCATGTTCCATTGCTAGAAAGCCCCATTTTAATTTGTAAACTAATACATTAAAATTTACTCTATAAATCTTAATTTAAAACATTAAAGATTAATGTGACAAAGTTTAGGATTATACTTCAATCTGTAGGCACAATAGGATGTGGTGTTTATTACTATATTGATGTGCTCACTATTGGAGTAACACCTTAACTGACATTTTTTGTGCTTTTTCGTACCAGACATATCCATCCAACTGTTTCATTATAAGACTATTGTTGAAAAAATATTAAACAATCCAGGTTTTGAATCATTTACTACTTCCAGAATTAGCTTACCTTAGAACCCAATAAACTGGAGTAAAGGCTTTAATTTCTTATGAATTCTCTATTCTTTTGCTTTAATCTCTTGCCACCTCACTGTATTGCTCTTTACTTTAATCTACTGTGTCAACACAGTAGATTACACTAAAAAAAGTTTTAAAAATCATATTATGAATGGAATTCTCTATGATTTCTTTAAATGACAAAGGCTTGCTTTTAAAACATCCCAGCACTGATGAATAGAAGTGAAATTGACCAGGCTGTTTTCATTGTTAAATATAAGATAAATTAAAAAGTACATAGACTGAATAAATTATGTAAAGTAATTTAGACATTTCCTCCCATTTTTATCTATCTCAGATGAACGAGAGACAAGAAAATGTTTGGTTTTAAAATATTACTTTTAACCTAAGGTGTACCTTTAATATTTGTGGCTGATGCCTATAGATAGACGTTTGATTGATAAACAAGAAGGTTTTTGCCCAAACACATCACAACTTGGTTTAAGTTTCTCTGTTCTCTTTCCATTTCCCCTATTAATAATGACAACACAGTGTATGTGTAAACTTCCAACCACGCATCACTGTGCAGACTACAGGGCAGTTTTGCTCACCAGGAGTCAGGGGCTTCATTTTCCCCGGTGCCAGACTGAACACCGTGGTTTGGGCAGAAGTTCACCCAGATCCAGTGGGTACCATGGGAGGAGGAGACCCTACAGCATCTATGCAGCAAACAGGGCCCCCACAGCCCTCCCCCACAGCAATTGACAGCCAAGCACTATGGCAAAGACCACAGCTGTTACAACAGCCTGCTGATGCTGCAGGGAGGGAAGGGTGTGAGCTGCCGCATCTCAACAGTCTGCACTTCTGCACTAGAATACGCACCCACATCCATACAGCCTTCCTCCCAGACACACACACAGATCCCCTGCCTCTCATACACAGGTTTACACACACAAGACTGGCCATACTGGGTCAAACCAACGGTCCATCTAGCCCAATATCCTGTCTTCCGGCAGTGCCCGGTGCTTCAGAGGGAATGAACAGAGCAGGGCAACTACTGAAGGATCCAGCCCGTTCTGGCGGCTGGTGGCATCCGGAGACCCAGAGCATGGGGCTGCACACACACATCTATACACACGGACACCTCCCCCCTCACGCACACACCGAGAGGCCCCAGACACACGAGACCCCTATGCTCACGCGCACACACCTCTCACACCCCCCCCCCCCCCCGGACACCCCGCGGGTCCCGGCCGGGGCTGGCTGGGGGCGGCGGGAGGAAGCGGCTCCCGCACGGCTGGACAGCAGCTGGGGGGGAGGGGGCGCGACGCAGGGGCCCCGGGGACCCACCTGGCGAGGCGGCGGCTCCGGCCGGGCGCGGAAGCTGCTGCCGCTTCCCTGCGACGTGTCTCTGCTCGGGGCGGGGCCAGAGGGGGGGGCAGTCCCTCAGTTTCTATGGTAACCTGGCGGGGCGGGGTCTCGCTCCTGCGCCCGGGGACCCGCCTCCCTGCCCAGCCCGGGCGGCTCCGCTGCGGCCAGCTCGGGAAATACCACTCCGGACTGGGGAGGGGGGGAGCCTCAGCCGCCGGAAACGAGGAAGTCCGGTCCACCTTCCCTCTCCCTCCATCCCCGCTGTCAGGGATGTGGAGCTGCCCGGATTCATGATGATTACATTGGAAAGTATACCCCCCCCGTAGGGCCAGGGTAAGTGGTACATTCCGGTAGCCACGGCTGTGTGTCTGCCGCCACCTGCCGGCGAAGGCGGGGAAGCGCAGCGCCCCGCTACTGCCGCTGCACAAAAGCCGGGGCCACCCCTCGGGACGCTGCTGGGGGTAGCGCCCATTCATCCCGGTCCCAGCCCCGATCCCACACTCCAGCTCGCTCTGTGGTGGGTAGTGCATGTTGCGGAGCAGGTGCCAAGGCCACCTTTGCAGAGTGGCTTGTTCCTGTAACACAAGCAACAGCAACGCCCCCTGCTGAAATGATCATCGGTGATATAATCAGCACATTGAAACAGCGATAGTTGGGGATTTGCTGTGTTAGTCTGTATCAGCAAAAACAACAAGGAGTCCTTGTGGCACCTTAGAGTCTAACCAATTTATTTGGGCATAAGCTTTCGTGGGCTATAACCCACTTCATCACATGCATGGAGTAAAAAATACAGTAGGCAGCTATATAATGTTTTCACCCCTCAGCTCACAGGAGTTGCCTTATGGGGGGGGGGGGGGGGGGGGGGG